ACCATCTGTGTCTAATCATTGTTAAATTCACAACAATAAAAAAAATCACGTGTGCCTTTTAAGTCATATTTTGGCCCACATATCAGTGACAGTAAAGATATTTATAATGTTACAAAAAAAAAGCGTACAAATTAATGCTCTTCTTACAAATTGATCACTGTTTATACAAAAATATTAAGCAGCACAACTGTTTTCAACATGTTCAACATATTAAATTAGTAAACACTTACTTTAAATTGTAATAATATTTCACAATATTACTGTTTTTTGATCAAATAAATGCAGTCTTAGTGAGCACAAGAGATTTCTTTCACAAAGAGAGTTCTTTCTCTTTACAACAGTACATTTTTCATAGTAAAGTCTATACACTCCACTATCAAACAGTCTATAATGCCTTTTTTCTTTGAATGCTCCTGCAACATTATATGCACATTTTTATTAGCCTGGATTCTATAAAGTATTCCTCCTTACCTGTAGCAAGTGTTCAAACTGGTAGATGCATAGACCCAGCTCAGCCATGCTGGGTTTAAACAACTCTCTAAGCCTGTACTCCTGCATTAGTCTGACAAACACACAGAAGGCCTCCTCCTCCGGCATCTACAAACACACAATGAATGATGAATTTGGAGTATGCAAAGTTTGGCTCACAGACATTTCTTTATCTTACTTTAGTTCATTATGATGAGCAAAACGCAGAAGCAAACCTGCATAAGTAGCAATCCTACGATGAATGCACTGCCCTGACAATAACCAACCTCACGATCCACAAGAGAATATGCCTGTGAGATCAAGAAACATCTATTAAAATTCTCTCTCTCTCTCTCTATATATATATATATACACATACACATCTATATATATATATACAGTATATACACACATACATACACATATACACACACACATCTATATATATATATATATATATATATATATATATTATATATATATATATACCGAATATACACACATACACACACACACACACACATATAATAAATGTGTGTGTGTATGTAGTTCTTTGTAATTTCTGAAGTAATGGGTTCTGAACATTTAGCTTTGCCATTACAAAAATAATTTACATTTTAAAATATATTCAAATAATAAAACTGTTATTTGAAATCATATTAATATTTCACAATATTACTGTTTTTCTTGTAATTTTCCTGTATTTTGTATCATTTCCTCATTCACCTCTCATTTTCATTATACAGAAAACATCAGCATCCACATTTTGCTAATTTCTTCTATAGAAGGAAGAAAATCATGTAGGTTTGAAATGACATGACATTTCAGTGAATAATGACTATTTTATTTTTTGGGTGAACTATTTATTTCTTTATAATTTTTTTGTTATCAGTCTGAAAATTACTTTTTGTAAATTTTTCCATTTTTGTTCAATAAACCACCACTCACTCTTTCTTTCATTTGCTCTACCGTGTTTCCACTTTATCTCTGATCTTTCTTTCAGCACCCATTTCTGTCTTTCTCACCTTCATGACATTAAACAGAACTTCCTGTCCCAGGCTGTCCTGGCCTTTGAAGAAGTCGTGCTCTGGATATGTGCGGGCAATATCTCTGCGTATGAGTTTTTCACAGGGTGAGGACATCTTTAAGAGTTCAGAGTACTGATTCTTTACTGGCATGTCAGTGGCATTACATAATAACTGCCAAACGATTGCTCGGAAATGATGAGGAATGCCTTTCCTTATTAGCTCCTGCGGATAGAGAGAGGGTAAGGCAGAAAATAAGAGATGAATGTACCGGTTTCAGATCCTTTTGTCTAGCGTCTATGATGTGGGTTAACACATTGTCATTCTGATTCTGAATGAAAAAGGACCAATCAATCACCTTCAGAAGTTTGTCTTTCTTTCGTCTCCACTCGTCCCACTCATTGACAATCCGTCCCCACAGGATCCAAGTGTCTTCTTCCAGATGGGACAGGTTAGAAGATGCAGATGAGCTTGACACCAGAGAGGAGCCACTATTCCTCCGAGATCCACTCATTGAGCGCATGGATTTGGAATCTGCTTCTAGCAACCTGAATGCAACACAACACACTGAGATCAGGGTATACAAATGGTAGTGCAGCCTAGTGGTTAAAGATCTGGGCTGCTACCCAAAAGGAAGTGGGTTCAAATTCTGTAAGGGAGGTTAAACCTATAATATTGTTCAAAGGTTCAGGGTCTGTAAAATTGTTTTCAAGGAAATTAATAGTTTTATTCAGTAAGGACACATTAAATCGAGTAGTAACAGCGAAAAGAGGAAGTAAAATTGATAGTAAAGACATTTACATTTCAAATAAATGCTGTACTTTTAAATGTTCTATTCATTAAAAAAACGTATCTATCACAGTTTCCACAAAAATTAAGCAATTGTTTTCCATCACAGGAATAAAGTATATTAAAAAAAGGATTTAGTAGAAGAGGGAGCTATTTTAAATTGCAATAATATTTCATAATATTACTGTTTGTACTGTTTTTTGATCAAATAAATGTACTTAATAAGGCTTCAAAATCTTTAAAAATCATACTGACCCAATCTTTTGAACTGTAGTATACCGTTTTCTTTTGCATAAACATTTAGTCAAGAGAACTTGTTTAAATGACAAATTAAATACTGTACATTGGTGGTGAGTAGGATCAAGAACATGGACTTTTAGAGTACAATCTGCAGGATGGAATAACAACAACAAATAACTTAAGAAATCAAAAAAAAAAAAAGTCTAAAGAAAACTTCCACACTGTTGCTTTTCTTGAACTGTGGTGCTACAGCAGTCTGTCACTGCCCATTAAAGAGCGTCAAAACATTCACTGTTTTGACAATGGTTGAATTCGGTTATAAAATGCTATCATAAAATTAACATAATATGACAGGTGAGACTTTGTTTCATCTCAAAAGTAACAAAGCACAGAGCTTACTGCGATTTTTTGGATGGGATGTGCGCTACAAATAATGTTTTGTTCACACATCAACTGAAAACAGCCTAGACTAAAAGAACAATTCTTGGGATTTTGAATCGATATTGGTTCATCAAAATGAGAACAGATTAAAATGGAGAAATCAATATTTTTAACCCAGCCTAGTTGCTAAAGGTGGTTGCAATATCAAAAGAGCCCACCTCAGAGCCTCCATTATATTCTGGCACCTAGATATGTCTTATAAGAGCATGTTCACATTAGCGTGATTTCTGTCAAATTCCGCAACAAAAACAGTCTATTGTCCACTGTCAATACAGTGTAGTGATGTATAAAGCACAGCTCACACAGAAACCAAGCAGCATTCTGTTGTTCAAAACAGCGAATTCATGTGAAAAACTTGATGCAAAATCTGCATGGGGAAATGTTGCGCCCTTGCGCAAAATTTCCAGTCGTATTGATTGCTATTGAAATTACTGAATTCCGCTTGCAAAATTTCATCAAGCAACTGTAAATGTGACCTGATAGTGCATGAGAAATTTTTGTCTGTTTTATCAGAGTCTAAGTATGAGTAATAGTAAATGATGGTTGTCTTAGCAAAGACCCCTAAACACAATACAGATGCTTCTTTATACACACCTGTTGACTCCACCACCGCTTGGATTCAAAATACTGTATTTCAGCTAGACTACATTGGCTGAATAATAGCGTATAAATGCCTTGTGAAATCTCTAGGAATCCTGGCGATCGCTCTGACAGAAGCACAGAGAATGTTTAAACACATTTCTACGACTGTAGCTTAAATGGCCCATTAAAGTTCTACATTCAGCATGGTAACTGTTGCTATTGTAGTTGCCAGGTAACCACCACAACTGATTAATAGCGAAAGCTTGTTACATATCAGTTGTTACAGGAAGAGAAGCTTAACCGCTATAAGTTTGCCACTCACAGGTCAAATGATAAACCCCACACGTAGCTTTCTGTCTCAAGCATGCATAGGGTTCCCTTTGTTGAGGCGTTGCTACCTTCAGAGGGATGTCACGTATCAAAGCGCAATACACTATGTGCGTGTCATTTGACATTTGCTCTGTGCAATTACCGATTTGCTCGCCCTGATGCTGTTTCAAATACTCACAGGTTCGAAACCATTTTTTGAATGCCAAATGTGATTTATAAAATGTTTCCTGGCCACTGCTTTTTAAAGGGGTCATATGATGCAATTTCAATTTTTCCTTTCTCTTTGGAGTGTTACAAGCTCTTGGTGCATAAAGAAGATATGTAAAGTTGCAAAGACTAAAGTCTCAAATCCAAAGAGATATTCTTTATAAAAGTTAAGAGTCAACCATGCCTACCTAAAACGGCTCGTTCTAACACGCCCCCACATGTCTACGTCACGATGTCGGAAGATTTGCATAACACCGCCCAAATGTTCACGCAAAGAAAGAAGGCGTAACTTTTATTCTCGCTGTAGTATTGTTGTTGCCAACGCCGCCATGTCGCGAAGGCGCTGTGTGTTTCGTGTTGAAAGCGAAACTACCGTATTGGCCCGAATATAAGACGACCGTGATTATAAGATGACCCCCCTTTTTCCAGATGTACCTTTTGGAAAAAGGCTTTTTAAAAACCAAATCTTGTTTTTTCTCAGTAAAACACATTTTGTCTTCAATTATTTTCATATTGCATATTTTTCTTATTTTAATTTTTGTTTTGAAAGTATGATGTATTTCCAAGAAAAAAACATCGTCTTATATTCGGGTCAATACGGTACTTTGTTTGGCCTTCCACAAGAGGACGATATCCGCTTCATCTTGCCTGGAGCTGATCTGTGCTGGTCGCTGAGGAAATACATCAACTTTTTTTAAAAAGGTGTCATCATTTGCTCACTCTCATGTTGTTGAGTTTTTTCTTCTGTGGAACGTTAAGAATGTATTTTGAAGAATGATGGTAACCAAACAGTTTTTGCCATTGACTTCCAAAAAATATTTGAAAACTGTTTTGTATGTACGTTGCTCTTGTTTTACCTGTTCTGTTCCTCCAGTTTAGCCAGAAGCTCAAGCTCATCTGGACTGAGGTTCTCGGAGTCAGCTGGGGAGGCCGCCGTGGCAGAGAGCGCAGCATCATGGGAACTGGAATCCGGACTGAGCACTGGGCTGCCAGCTAAAGGAGGGTCAGTTTCCAGTCCGGGAGGCGAGTTGAGGTCTTCCAGCTGAACAGAACCTGCCATCCCTCCCTCTCTCTCTGGGCTGCTACTAGGGCTTGACATGACGGAGGAACCCAGGACAGGAAAAGTCAAGCAGTGATGTGGGGAATTGGAAGGATGCTACAGGGTTCTTGGCGCCGTGGATGTAAACAGGCCTCCTTGAAGACGTGTATATCAGGACTGGGTTAATCTGTGGAAATGAGGGAAGTGAGATTATGTATTGAAGGGCTGCGTAATTAATTGGAAAAAAGAATTGAGATTTTGACTGCGGCTGCTGTGATTAACTAATTAATTCAGTGTTTATGATGAGAGGGCTCTAATATTGTCTAGTATTGAAAACATAAACCAATCATTTCTTCCTCTTTAATACTATAGTGTGAAATAAACAACCACAGAAAACATGTTGAATCATACAGTACAGTTTACTGAAGTGTTTTAACTACCAAACAACACTTGTGAACAGCAAGTGTTACTTGAGTAAGTAAAAACAACATGTAGCTTAAATAACAAATAAGAATAAATAATAAAGTCCATTTCAAATTATAATTTGGCACTACCTACTGTTGAGCTGAATTTATTTGGGACATTTATGCTCATACAAATTTGACATACATATTAATAATTAATGCCTCTTAATTCTAGGAACTTTAGGTTTGTTATTTGTAAAGTAAGTATTTTTATGAGAACATGAATAAAACAAATAAAACATTGAAAAATAGGTTATTAATATAATATAATAATAAGTTACGGTTATTATTTATTGGCAAGTTAACCAAAAAATTTATCAACTAATCAGAAAATAATTTAGATTTACCAATGGTTAGATAATCAGAAAAAAATAATCAATAGAAAATATAATAATTAGTAACAGCTCTAAAATTTGCAATCTAGTAATCACATTAAGCCATATTACAATTTCTGTTTTATTCTGATTAATCTCAAAAATAAAATCGGCTCAAACTATGTTTGATTTCCTGATGGAATCATAGTCTACAGCAAAAAAAAGAAAGAAAAAGTGTGCTCATCATCATACACTTATAGGATATTCTCTGAGAAAATCTGTCAACTCCAATTGCCTAAATTGCAATTGCCTATTTGGCTTTGGCAACAAAATAAAATTCTGGTCAAAAGTTGTGTAGTGTATTCCAGTCTTACATCTATGCCACCTCATATTTAAATGGGCGATGACGTGCAAAGCAAACCTGTGACGCTGTTTGAATACAACCAAGAAGAAAAATGACTGTACAGCATATGTGATCTGTGTAAGTGTTTTGTACTGCACTACAACAACAAGCTATTTGTGCATCCTACAACAAACCACAGACACAAATGGAGCAGCTAAGCCACAACCTAAGCCATTAACGAGAGAGAGGGAATGTGCATTATATTTAGAGTATAGAGTAATGGGCGGATGACAGAGAAATAGACAAACACTCACGCGTTCATACACATATTACTAAATTACTAAAGACAAATGTGGTGTGTTTTCTCAAAGGAACATTACAATTTAGAGCTTGGTAAGCCCTGTTTGGGTTTGGAACAGAAATAAACCCTGTTTCTGTAGTTTCACATAGTCAGACATCTGACTAATCAGTAACAGGTCTGGTCTACACTGAAACTTATTCTGGCCAAGAGCCACCAACTAGACAGGAAAAAACCACAACTCATTTTGTTTTTACGTGGGATTTAGGGGCAGGGTTATCGGAAACCATAACAGACCATAACAGAATAATAGACTGACAGAGAAAAAAAAATACAATAATGCTGTGACGGTTATACAGAAACCACTGGAATAGCAGAAAATGCTTATATACTGAATAAATACTGATCTTTTGTTAGACAGTTTTATTGTGGATCTTGTAAACCTTTTACCAAGTGCCTAAAAAACTCTAAACTGTTCAAAAGTCTGGGGTTGGTAGGATTAAAATTTTTTTTATTTTTCACGTCTCTTATACTCAGGAAGGCTATATTTATTTAATCAAAACACAGTAAAACTGTAAAATTGTGAAATATTATTAGAATTTTATATAAGTGCCTTTTAAAATGTAATTTATTTCTGTGATGGCAAAGCTGATTTTTCTTTACTACAGCGATTCCTCCAGTCTTCAGTGTCACATTATCCTTTAGAAATCATTCTAATATGCCGATTTGCTGCTCAAGAAACATTTCTTGTTATTACTGTAGAAAACAGTTGTGCTGCTTATAGTTTTTGTGGAAAAAAATTAACTTTTTCAGGATTTCTGTAAACAGCAGCATTTATTTGAAACAGAAATCTTTTGTAACATTATAAATGTCTTTATTGTCACTTTTATCAATTTGATGTGTTCCTTCTGAATAAAAGTAGTACTTTCTTTCTCTATATAAAAATAAATAAATTATAAAAAAATCTTACAAAGCCCCAAATTATTACACGGTAGTTTATCTTTTAAAATGACACCACTAAGCTGCCAAACCTTATTTAATTCTCAACAGCACTCATATCTAACCTATTCCTTGCAATTTTGAACGTAATATGCATCAGAAAGTGTAATGGTTCTTGGTAAAAAAAAAATACAAAAAAAATAAAAATAAACTTACTCGACACCTTAGGTTCGCATTTGTACCGTGATTAATCTCAATCCTAGCAATGTATATGGAAGACAGCAGTTAACAAATAGATTAAAATTTATAAGCATTTATAAATACGCTACGAACTGTACCGAAACCATGACCCCAAAACCCCAATGCAATCTATGGGGTGACACTACTATTCATAAAGTTTGGTAACACTTTAGTTTAGGGACCAATTCTCACTATTAACTAGGTGCTTATTAGCATCCCTATTACTAACACTTTGGCTGTTTATTAGTACTCATACTCTAAAAAAAGATGGTTCTTTAAAGGTTCTTTACATGCAGCAATGGTTTTATTTAGAACCATAGCATTCTGAAGAACCCTTTTATGCTGAAATGGTTCTTTGTTCCCGCCGGAGTTCAGTGATCCAACTACACAGACTGTTAACACGCTCTCAACAGGTAAATTATTTTATTCTTAAATTTAAATACAAATTTAACTTTAAAATTGTAACTGCTTTCCAAACAAACATGTTCTTATCTCTTTTTTTAGTTTTTGGTCACATATAAGTGTGTGCAGCTCTGCTAAGCTGTGGAAACTTCTCTCCTCTTCTCCACTAAGCAAGTAAAAGAGACAATGAATTTGTAATTCATATTGTTAGATTTTTTAAATTATTACTTGGGTTTATGTATAAACATACCCAGTCACAAAACAATATTAAAACTATCCCACAAGATTGTGAAGGGCTCACATACTGTCTCCTTTTGCTTTTGGCCTTCATAAACATAATTGTTTTTACATTAAACACACTCTAACTCTGAACTCAATTGTGTATTTCAGATGCATCACATCCTACAACCTCATCATCTGCAGAGAAAAATCGCCACTTAATCACACCAAAATGATGGACTTAAAGGAAACTTGGTCTTCATCACATCTATTTTTTGTGTTTTACTTCTTTATGTATTTATTCACATTCAATGTCAATTGTCATTCATTAAATCAGTGTTTCTCAACCTTTTTTTAGTCGCGGCTAAGCTGTGGAAACTTCTCTCCTCTTCTCCACTAAGCAAGTAAAAGAGACAATGAATTTGTAATTCATATTGTTAGATTTTTTAAATTATTACTTGGGTTTATGTATAAACATACCCAGTCACAAAACAATATTAAAACTATCCCACAAGATTGTGAAGGGCTCACATACTGTCTCCTTTTGCTTTTGGCCTTCATAAACATAATTGTTTTTACATTAAACACACTCTAACTCTGAACTCAATTGTGTATTTCAGATGCATCACATCCTACAACCTCATCATCTGCAGAGAAAAATCGCCACTTAATCACACCAAAATGATGGACTTAAAGGAAACTTGGTCTTCATCACATCTATTTTTTGTGTTTTACTTCTTTATGTATTTATTCACATTCAATGTCAATTGTCATTCATTAAATCAGTGTTTCTCAACCTTTTTTTAGTCACGGCACCCTTTGGAAATTTTAACAAACTTGTGGCACCCTACAAAATTAATTTTGTCACAATATTTGAATTTCTAACTTCGATATGATCATTTGAAAAGTATAGATATTCGGTACAACAGGGAAGAACTGCAGAATATAATGTCATACAGATATTTTTAATATTATTAAAAAAATGTGTCCATCAATGGTGGCAATCAGTAGGCTAATTTCTAATGAAAAGACCCATTTATATGACAGATTTAATGTAGGCTTTTATACATTAACGTAATACATTAATAATGTAAACATTATAACTAGCTATCTCACAAATTTTTGCTCACTCAGTGTTTTTTTTTATTTTACAGTGGGGTACTTTTGGTGCAGTAGCACGAGATAGCTTGATTCAAACTTTTAATTGAATAAAAAATGACAAGTAAGCACTCAGTAATAAAATAAGAACAAATAAAGAAATGAATAATGATAGCACAAATAAAAAATAACGACAGGCCTTCAAATTAAATAAATTGCTTTTTAGTTTTTCAGGTAGGTCTAACAGTAGGGTTAAGATATTTAAAATTGCTTTTTAGTTTTTCAGGTAGGTCTAACAGTAGGGTTTTTAAATATTTAACTTTTTTTTTTACCAATTATCCAAATAATGTTTAGTCCTAGAAAGCTATTATTATCAGAACATGCGAGCATAGCATAGCGGTTAGCAGATCAATGAATGAGAGGGCAGCGTTACCAGAGTTGCCCAAATACCACACCATGTTACAACACAGTAGGGCTATTGCAGACAGAAACAATACTGTACTACATCGATGTTTCCTGTCGGCTCAATTTTTGAGTGCACTTTGCTGTTCCGATTCGCATGAACGGTATACGAGTGGAGCGACAGAGCGGAGCGCACACGCATAGAGCAGGATAATACGCAGAGCGTCACACCACGTGAAAGTGAAACCTGAGCAGTGAACTAATTTTCGGCAGCCGGAATTTCGGTGCATCTCTAATTATTGGCGACATCAGAAATGGATATTATATAATAGATGCTTTTTTGAACATTTTAGCAATTTATAAATATAAAAAAAATATTTTTTACACGGCACCCCTGCTCTCGACAGACGGCACCCCGGTTGGGAAACACTGCATTAATGTATTCAGCTAATAACTGTTGTTAAGAGC